AATCCACTGAAATGTACATGTGTGAAACATATTTATTTTTTTTAAGATTTTATTTATTTATTTGACAGAGAGAGGCACAGCGAGAGAGGGAACACAAGCAGGGGGAGTGGGAGAGGGAGAAGCAGGCTTCCCACTGAGCAGGGAGCCCAATGCGGGACTCGATCCCAGGACCCTGGGATCATGACCTGAGCCGAAGGCAGACGCTTAACGACTGAGCCACCCAGGCACCCCTGTGTGAAACATATTATGTTTTAACCATCTTCTGTGTTTTTCTTTTTTTTTTTTTTTTTAAAGATTTTATTTATTTATTTGACAGAGACAGAGATAGCGAGAGCAGGAACACAAGCAGCGGGAGTGGGAGAGGGAGAAGCAGGCTTCCCCTCGAGGAGGAAGCCCGATGTGAGACTCGATCCCAGGACCCTGGGATCATGACCTGAGCCGAAGGCAGACGCTTAACGACTGAGCCACCCAGGCGCCCATCTTCTGTGTTTTTCATTCCTTTCCATATGGTGTCAAAGGTTCTCCCCACCTTTCCTATAATGCTTTTAAAGGTAGAGGAAAACAGTTATATCCCCAGTAAAACAGAGAGGTTCTATGGATCCTGATCACCTTTCTATTGTATATCAAAGCTATGTTTCTGTTGAATGATCTCTTGTTACCATTTAACAAAGAAAACTCAAGGAGCTTAGGGAGGAACTTCTCACATACCCAGGGATTACCTCAGAAGTTCAAAGTCTGACCTCTCCACCCCCAACAAAGCTAGTTAATGTCAGCAACTTAAAAATACTGCTGCTGCCAAATTACCTGGAAGAAAAGGAGGAAACATTATTTCTCCCCTAAATAAAACTTTCCCAAGTCAACTCAGTAAGCCCTATCTTTAATTTACAATTTGGGAAGCTCTGAAGCAGACAAAAGAAAAAGTTATTGTCTATTTGGGATCATATTCAAAGCTAGATGATATTTGTTAGTCTCTCCTAATGTTTATCTTTGTTTTCGGCAAAGTAATACACTGAAATAAAGTGCCTATTTTAGAAAAGGTAATTACAGTATGGAATTTTTTTCATAGGAGAAAAAATGGTGTTAACACAAAAATTACAAATCTCCTCTGCTGCAGTCTTTTTATAAACTATTCCTGAGATTTCTTATGACCAAAGCAAAACATTTTTCTGATATTAGATTCTTGATTTTTACCTTTACTGTGCTATAAAGCAAGATTAGATTACCATTTGTACATTCACTTTGCACATTTAATCAATCTACTCAATTAAACCATATGAATTTGCTGATATTTGACTCCTGTTTTACTTACTCAAAATGGCAATTTCTATGGTTCAACCTAATAACAAAGGAGACACCTCGGCCTCCATCGTGTAAGGAACATTCCAGTATGAGTCAATTTCTGATAGACCAAAATGCCTTAATTTTGTATCATTCCCATTCAATTAATAGAGGTGGGAAATGTGATGACAGTTAAGAACACAAAATTTGGGGCACCTGGGTGGCTCAGTTGGTTGAGCGTCCTACTCTTGATTTCGGCTCAGGTTGCCATCTCAGGGTCATGAGATCATAGCCCTGCATGGGTCTCCCTGCTAGGTGCGGAGCCTGCTTAAGATTTTCTCTCTCAAAAAAAAAAAAAAAAAAAAAAAGATTTTTCTCTCTCACTCTCCCGCTGCCCCTTCCCTGCCCCACCCCACACTCTCTCTAAGAAATTAAAAATTAAAATTAAAAAAAAAAAAAGAACACAACATTTTGGAGTTTTTACTTCACTTTAAAATTAGGTGAGAAGTCTTAAGCGTTTCAGGCAGGTTTCTCTTCCCCTCCCCCACCAGTTACCCTTTTGCCACATATGCAGAACTTTGTTTATCAACTAGCAGTGTATTTATTATGATTACAGGGCTGGAAGGGGAGTGGGGATTCCTTGCTAAACATCCTGCTCTCCTACTCTCTTTTCCCTGAGACAGTCTCTTTCCCATCTCCATTTACATCATGCTTTGTCTACTATTATTATAATTTCCGGAGTTTGTACAAGTCCACTTCATTTGGTCCACAGATCCAAAACACACCACCAGTGAAAATGCTGGCAACATCTGAGAAGTTTGCATTAGAGTTTTACTCCAAATGGTTGTATCTGAAAAAATATATTTATCAACTCTTCAAGTTGAGAAATAAGAGGGGATTTTCAATATGGTTAAGTAAAACAAAAAACTTCCCAGCATCAGGTATGGTATATTTGTGTTTTAAGAGGTCACAACAGCTTTTCAAATGGTTTCAGTAAGAGGAACTGGAGAGAAAGCAAGAGGGTAATAAGAATGTCTTCTTTCTTTTTCTTAACGAGGCTCTAACTTGCATAAAGGACTGAACAGATGGGCAGGTAAAGACATTCTCTCTAAACTGGCTCCGGCATTGCTTTTACCAATTGTATTTCAGGCTTTTACTCCTCTGATGCAGATGTCCATCTTTTGCATATTTAATCACTTCAGTCCTGTAATATACACATGTCCAGGACTTCCAATCAAATCGTCTTTCTTTATCTAAGGAAACGGGGGACTTAAAAATCAGGCTAATTCTGTGTCTCTGCCATCAATGTAAAGAAGTAATATAATAATTATTACAGAATTACCTATCGCTTAGGTTTTTTTTTTAAACCTATTAAATTATATCAGTGACATTTCACAAAGTAAGAGAAAACAAATTAATTACATCCATCACTTATATAGCAGATATTACAACATGACCAGAATCACATAGTCAGAATAGGCATCCATTATTAAGTCCCTGAAGTCTATTATATGAAAACCAGTACTTTTGAGAAAAGATACAGAATGATGCTTAAACTGTTGCACAGGGTTTTTTTTTTTTCTTTTTCCTTTTTTTTTTTTTTTAATTTAAATTCAAGTTAGTTACCATATAGTGTATTATTAGTTTGGGTGTTCTACAATTTTTACAGCACTTTAGCATTCCTTCATTCACCATAACACCACCTTTATAAGAGCAAGTATTGTTATTAATATTTTATATTTATCAAATTATTGAGAGGTGGTTTGGAACTGGAACTCAGGCCTTTCTATCCTTGTCCCAGTGGTAGTCCATCTGGAATGGTCTAACATGAAATGCATTCATACGATATATTTTAATTAGAAACCATAGGATCATCAATGACTCCTTTCTTTCAAATTATCTCTAATTCTTTTCTATTCCAACTTTGCAACATCTCACAAGTTTGTCCTGTCTTCTCTGTAATACAGACTTAATTAAAGCCCTCTCACTCATCTTGCTCCAGGATCACCAAGCCTCCGCACCCCTCCCCTCCTCTGAATCTCCCATTACAACACTGCCAGAGCGATCTTTCTAAAATGTGGTTCTGACGGTGTCACTCCAATGCTTGAAAACATTTGGCAGCTTGCTACTGCCTACAGTGGTGGTTGTTAAACTGTGCACCTGGGATCTCTGTAATTCTGAGAACTAGACAGAGGTGTTTAGAGCTGCTAAAATCAAGTAACGTCAATCAGCTTAATTTGCCGGAACACAAAAATTAAGGGAAAGAGCTGCATTTGATTTTTGCCCCTATCTTTGTCCTACATATCTGTTTGCCTACTGGACACAATAAATAACAAAATATCAAAATAATGAAACAAAGCAAACCAAGATTAATTCTGAGTCAACTCTACTTCATTCAACAACTAGTTATTTTCACCCCTGTTGAGAGGTAGGGGGAAAATGTTCTTATGATTTAAATTTGATTTTATAGAAGTGTCATTTTTTTCTAATTCAAATGATAAGAACTACATATATGCTTCAATAATCTAGAACCTGACAACATCTACGGACTCTGCTTCTTGAGCCCAAAAACACTTACATATACCCCTCTGGGGGGGCTTTGGCAACTGAAGTTCTGCACTCATAGTTCACTGATATACCCATCTCATTTTATTTTACTTTTTTTTTTAACGCCTGTCTCCTGAATTAGTGAATTCACTGAGCACAGAAGCAACATGCTATTCATGTTTAAATCACAAGTGCCTGACACATAGAAGTCACTCAGTAAATCCATGCTGGGAAGAATCAGTGAATTCAATTTTATAAGAGAGCAAGACTGCCAACTATGAGTTATAATTATGGAGCTTCAGAAATTTCTAGCAAAGTCGGTAAATTTTCTGTTTCCAGTATAATACATAACACATTATAAAAATAAAATAAAATAGTTTTAGAACTATTTCACTTCATGCTGCATAAAACAGCCAGGAAAGATAGTAAGTTCTATACAACAAAACTCCATTAAAAGCATGTCAGTGTTGATTTTTAGGAAGTTTCTTAAAAACATACAGCACTCATAGCCATCAAGTTAAATTAAGGATCCAGTCAATCCTACAAAATTAAATTATAATTGTAAAGAATTTTTAATTCTATGACCATAAACTGGATAATAAATATTGTCTTTCCATGCCTCCCCTACAAAATAAGCTGTTTCTAGCTCAATGTACATGTTCTCCTCAAGTGAAAAAAGAATGTGGATCAATTTCTATAAATGTTAGGGCTTAGATATGAAAGTAAACAAATACCCAACAGAGTTGCAATCATTACTTCATTGTTCCCAATAAAATCTACAGAAAGAAAAACCTACTGATACTTTTCACAGTGAAACGTGTTTATTTTTTTATGTCAGAAACAGATAACAAGTTTTATGAAGTTTAATATATCCTAGTATCCTCATTTTTTTAAAAAAAAAACTTTTGAGACCACAAGATATACCCCCATGAACTTGTATAACTGCAGGAGTATATCTCATGGCCAAGGAATATGAAAAGCCAGAGGCATACTTAATGTGTACGAAGGCTTATGGTTTACATTTGTATTAAATATCTTACTTGCCTCAATCTGATTTTTATGGCCTATGGCCTGTGGACCCTTGGTAATATGCATGGCTGCATTAAAAGTGAGCATTTTAAGATGAAATCTCAAAACACTGTACAGACGGTAAAAAAACAATGCGAAATACTTACAGCCAGCAAGCAGGAACTGATAATACTGGACTGCATCTGCAGCGAGGAGCAGAGGGTGGTTTGCATTAAATGGTGGTTGCAATTCATTCCATTGAGGAGTTCTAAGGAAACGGCAGAAGAATATTAATATTTAAGCTTAATAGATGCGATGTAAATCACCATCACTGTCACCACTTATAGACACTGATATAAACTCACACTATCTTTGTAATCATTAAAGTGAATTTGTTAGAAGTGCTGAAACCTGAAATACAAGGCCAGCTGATTAAAAAGAATAAAAAAAAGGTGGCAGTGAGTCATACAATTACATACAGCTGATACTAGTTTAATAGCAGAAGACCTTCCAATAGGATTGATAAGACATTCAAAGCACTGGACAGAGAGGAAGTGTGGAATTCAATGTCACAACTAAGTAGCTCTAATTTTACCTAATTTCAGACAACTGTTGGAGCTCACTACTCTCAGAATATGTGTATATTTTAAAATAAAATAAAGCAGGTAAAAGTGCTTTTAAAAAAACCCACACGGTGGGTTTTTTTCAGATCCAAAGAGACAGAAAGTAAATTAATGGCTGACTTATTACAGACCTAATTAGAATGTGAGCTCCAAAATAAGCCATTTATTTCAACAATGATGGTGCAGTAATTTTAATTAGATCTGCCTGTTCCTAAATAGCTTGATAAATAAGATATTGATCAGATCAATCTAGGCCAGTAAAGTAGTAGTAAAGAATGCTGGAGCCTCCAAAAATCAATATAAGAATATTTTAAAATGTCAAAAGGAGAGGGATCATTTTCATATCCATTTTTGTCTGTTTCCTTCCATACTTGTCAGGATAAATTTTTCTCTGCCTCTTCTGTACCACTGTACACTGTGTTGAACAGGTTTTATTCTAGATTTTATTTCTCTCTCTTGATACTTGCTTATAAAGATTCTAATGATCATGTACTTTTGAGAAGGACTCTGATTCTTAATAAACATTTCTACAGTGTTTAGCCATTATATCTTGGGGAAACCTTCCAATCAATTTATATTCCTTTCCAATCCCCTTAATGGCTATTCCAATGTACTCTCTATTTTCAGTGAACATGAGACTGGAAATAGAGGAAGCACTAAAGCTCTATATGTGGATAGGAAAAAACCCCAAGTTCTGGAAAATGTAATACAAAGATGCAAGGACAAGGTAATTCAAAAGGAGGCATAAGGCAAAGACAACTGAAAACATGATCACACAAAAATTTGTACATGAATGCTCTTAGCAGCATAATTCATGACAGCTAAAAAGTGGAACTGTCATCTACTGATGGATAAACAAAATGAATAAACAAATGGACACAAAACATGGTATATCCATGCAGTGGACTATTATTTGGCCATAAAAAGGAATGAACTTCTGATACATGTTACAATATGGATGGACCTTGAAAACATTATGTTAACTGAAGAAAATCAGATGCAAAAGGTCATATTTTGTATGATTCCATTCATACAGAATGTCCACAGTAGGCAGATCAGATCCAAAGAGACAGAAAGTAAATTATGGTCACCTGGGGCTGAAGGGTTTGGTGAAAATGGAGAGAGACTGCTGATGTGTATAGAGTTTCTTTTGAGGGTGATGAAAATGAGTGTGGTGATGGGTATACAACCTACCGAAAATTCACTTTAGATGGGTGAACTGTATTACATGTAAATTATATCTCAAAAAAGGAATTACTGATACATGCAATAACAGGAATGAATCAAAATAATTTTGCTGTGTGGAAAGAAGCAAGACAAAAAAAAGAGCACACACACTATGATTCCATTTATATAAAATTCTAGAAACTATAAACTAGTCTCTAATGACAGAGCAGTGGTTGCCTGGGGCTCAGTGGGTGAGGCAGGGATAAAGAAGGGCAGGAGGGAGAGACTACAAAGAGGCACAAGAAAACATTTCGGGGTGATGGATATACTTGTAATGTTAATCACAGTGATGGTTTCACAGCTGTATACAGATGTCAAACTTGATCAAATTGTACATTTTCAATATTTTACACTTCAGTAAAGCTGCTAAAAACAATGGAAGGAGGTCCTACCTAACCAGAGTCCAGCTGGCTCGAGGTGAGGTCATCACTTCCAGTGGGGTGTCATCACTAATCTTGGGGACAGTGCTGAGCGGCCGTGGCTCCATCATGTGCTCCACTAAGGTCCCATAGCAACTGATAATGTAGAGAGACTCAACTACAACTTGTTTGGACTGATCTGCAAACAGAGAAACGATCCTGGTTGTGGGATAATGGCATAAAAGGAGAGAGAAAATACAGCAGGAAATGTTTCACATGGTGCCTGCTCCCTGCCTCAAGGCTGCTTCTTAGAAGTGGATGCTAATGAATATGAGAATCTCTGTGCTATCAAACTATGTTTAAATCTTAAGCAATTTATTTCAAAAATGATGAAAATATCCTCAAAATTCTAATACAGTGAAACAATATTTCACAGCCTTTTGTATTTTTCTGCCATATAATTTGTTCCCCATTACAAAAAAATGAATGATAGCAGGTGGGATAGGGAAGGACTGACTGGAAAGGAACATCGTATGGACTAAGATGTAGTTACATGGGAGGTACCAATTCAACCACACGAGAGGCTCCCTGGTGCTTACATCAGCTTAACTTCTCTACTTTCTTTCAGAAAACTTTATTTTTTTTTAAAGATTGATTTATTTGAGAGGGGGAGGGGCAGAGGGAGAGGCAAGGAAAGAATCTCTGGCTGACTCCCAGCTGAGCAAGGATCCCGACACAGGGCTCGATCTCATGACCCTGAGATCATGACCGGAGCCAAAATCAGGAGTCAGACACTTAACTAACTGAGCTACCCAGGCATCCCAAACTTTGTTTTTTAAAATCTGGATTAAAACGAATAAATGAAAAACACGCACATCCTCCTCCCCCAAATCCTCTTTCTTCTCTCTTCTCCATGAATCACGGGCTTCTACGTAAACGAAGACCAATCATACTTTAAGGTCAGGTGCTGAATATGGATCTAATCAAATGACTTTATAAGGAAGTACACATGTCCTCACTACTAAAACAGGTTTAGTCCTGTATCTTGGGTTTTACAGTAAACCTAGGAGCATATAAAATCACTCATGAATGCTGGGTGGGTCACCTTATCTCCATGCCAGAGGAATCAATTACAGCTGATTTGAGAAAATGGCTAACGACCAGTCAGCGGGACATAAAGGAGTAGTAAGTTAAAAGGGTAATTAGAACAGAAGGGAGAAGCATTTGAAATTGAGCTTCACAGAGGGTTTTAACTAGTAACAAAAAGTCACTTTGATAGCATCATTAAAACTAAAGAGGTAACAAAAAAATAGAGATGGGATAAGAAAATGGAAGGCTTGCATACTTTACTGTATCCTCTCCCACTTAGGCAAGGAACCTGCTGTGCCTGAGATCCTATTTCCAAGGAAAGGGTCACAGAAAGGCGATAACTAGGGAGAGGGCTGATGTCTGACTGCCAGTACTGAGCGTAAAGCAGGGCCATTTTGCCAAGAACAATACAGCCTGTGGAGCTGGGCAGAGAAGTGCCTCACTAACAACTCAGTTTGTGACCTACTTTAATAGTGCTGAAATAATAAGGGCACAATCTTAACATTCAGATTTAAATACCCGGTTCACGAATGCAGGCACTCCTCTGCACACAAAAAATAAGGAGTAACATACTAAAGCAGTAATTATATAAAAATTTTAGGTATTGGGGTGCCTGGGTGGCTCAGTCATTAAGTGTCTGCCTTCGGCTCGGGTCATGATCCCGGGGTCCTGGGATCGAGCCCCGCATTGGGCTCCCTGCTCGGCGGGAGGCCTGCTTCTCTCTCTCCCTCTGCTGCTCCCCCTGCTTGTGCGCTCTCACTCTCTCTGTCAAGTAAATGAACAAAATCTTAAAAAAAAAAAAAATTTAGGTATTAATCTTGGCTATCAAAGCAGGGATTTAAAAAAAACACAATTCTATAAACTCAAAGGAGCAATGGTTACCATAAAAGATGACTCTTAAGGGCGCCTGGGTGGCTCAGTGGGTTGAGCGTCTGACCCTTGATTTTGGCTTAGGTCATGACCTCAGGGTCATGGGATCGATCTCCATGTCAGGCTCCGTGCTCAGTGTGGAGTCTGCTTGAGATTTTTCCCGCTCCCTCTGCCTCTCCCCTCGCTTTTGCACGTGCTCTCTCTCAAATAAATAAATAAATCTTTAAAAAAAAAAAAGATGACTCATTTCTGAGCAGGAGCCTGTTTTTATCTTTTAACTTATAATACGGCAAAGTTGTTGGTGGTGGTTTTTGTCTGTTTGCTTGTTTTTTAAAGTCAAGATGGAGCTTTAGAAAACCTGGATTCAAACTCGGATACCATCACTTTCTAACTGGTGCTTTTAGCTAAGATATTCAAACTCGTTGATCTCAAGCTCCTTGTCTCTAAAGTAGGGATAACAAGGGTTTTCCTCCCCACACCTCAGAGGCAATGGCATGGAATTAGCTTGTCAAAAATGTAAAAATGTAGAATGGTATGGCATTAACAATGTTGAGGACACTGGTAGATTGTCTCCAGCAAAGCAAAATACAAACATTCAGATGGGCAATTTATTTCACATTTATAGTGAGAGGATAGCCTTTCTCCTTAATAAGGCTTGAGTAGTTGAGGAGAGACATGCTAACTGAATGGAAAAATGGGTTCAGAGAATACTGGGTTCAAGATTATTCAAGAAGAACCACTACAAATTTCCCTCAAGAAACAAAAATTACAAGTGGCAAGTTTAAGCTTCAGTAAGCTCCATACCTTTTTCTCTTTTCAGACCTGCATTATTTGCAAACCACGATCTGGATGTCCCGAACATTGCAGCCACACAAAATTCTCCGCCCATCGATTTGCTGGGTGAAATTTGTGGAGGTGGTTTAACTTTGCTTAAAAAATAAAATGATAGTAAAAAAAAAATTACCATGATGGAATCACAGACCTCAATATAGTGACATTATTTTCTTTAAAATTCCACCCCAAAGTATTCAAACCCTCCATTGTGGACATGCATTTTGCCTTAAGTATAACTGGTGGTGTGAGACTGTGTTCTGCAGTAAAATTAGTGCAGAATTCCAGAGTATTATCACAACAGTAACATATAAAAACAACAAAAATTAACCCCTTTTTGAAGTATATGTTGGTGAAATCCAAGTCACTTCCTTTCAGATGGATAACATTTCTCTGGAGATTTTAAAGTGGAAGAATAGAACCAGGCTAAGTATCTCACAATAATAAAATCGTTTATCATTTCATTTTGATATATAAGATGTGGGATTGACAGGACAGTTGAATGGAGACGGCACGTATGAAACTGACAAGATGATATAGGATGAAAATATGAAAATGACAAGAAGATACAGAACGAAACCCTGTGAATGTTTCAGCCACAAAGCTACATAGTTAGATAATGTATGGGGAGAAGATCGAATGCTCTAATGCAATTATATTCACCAATCCATTTGTTTATTTTTTCTTCATGGGTTTGTGAAAATGATGTGTCTATTTCTGTTCTGTTCTTCACACGTTTGAGGATGCCTTAAGTCACTGATGTAACTCCCATAAAAAAGTACCTGCTTTCCTGTTTGTTTTCTCCAAATTAGCTTTTATACCATGAACTTCTAATATCAACCTTTCATCTTCTGTGAAATTCTATTATTTCTCTTCTCTTTTGATTTGGCAAAGGCTTCCCCAGTGCTCACTGGCAATTCTGCTGACCACCTCAGATAAATGGTAGTAGTTCACACACCAGAAAACAGCCTCACTGCATCCTGGTCGAGATCACAGCCCCTCTGGACACCAGAGCTCTGATGTTCCTACTCTGCTAGTCAGTCCCCAATGTCAAATGACATTATTTCTACCTTCTTTTGTTCACTGTCCTTTTTCTCTTTATCTGATAATAAAGTATGATTAGGTGGAGAAAGATTGGGTTTGGGAGCCAGGAAGAAACCTCCATGCTGCCACTTCTTAGCTGTGTGACTTATTTAACTTCTCAAAGCTCAGACTGCTAATATGTAAAATAAAAATAGTAATGCCTACTTCATGGGGTTATTTTAAGCATTATTTGTTATTTGTTTTTGTTATATTTGTTATTATTTGTTATTTGTTCTCTAAGTGTGCTCCCTGGCTAGAAGTATCACCTGAGAACTTCTTAGATAGACAAATACTCATCAAGCCACACCCCAAACTCTGGGGGCGGGGCCTAATAATCTGTGCTTTGTTTTAGTTTAAGTAATTTTTTTTTTTTTAACCCTCCAGGAGATTCTGGTACACGCTCAGGTTTAAGAACCACCGTACTGGGAAAGTGCATAAAGCAATCAAGGCAGTGCCTTCCCATATTCATGGTACTCAATAGGGTTAACTGTCTTCTATATGGCACACCGCCTTCACCTAATTTTCCAAAGCATCAAACTATGCTTTGGTAATCTCAGTTTCCAGGTCCTTATGACACCTGAAATAGTCTTCCACATACTTTATTTCCCCAGCCTTCTGCTCTGACATCTTCCTGCTTGGGAAAGCAAAAAGTTCGGGTCAGAGGCCACTGTGATTGGTCTTTTTGGCTCTCCCTTTGTGCCAAATCTATGGTAATGCACATTGCCATATATGAAAAGGCCTCTTCTTTCCATCATTAACATTTCTTAACCACTTCACATCATTACTCATAAAAACCACACCCCTGCCTAACATATCAACACCAGTCACAGTCAGACTTCCACTGACAGGGAATAAAGACGTAGTTTTTAGAAAAAAGTTTCTGTGAGGAAATGAATCTGGTTCTACAAATAGTTTCACATCTTCCTGGTTGCATCTGCCACAACTACAATAACCTACCAACAGGGAAGAAGACTCCCCCACCCTGACCCCACCTACCCCAGAACAAACACACACCTTTCCTCGCCATCAGATTATCCTTCCCGGTTATGATGCTCTACGTTGTAATACCTTCGAGTGTAAATTCTCCTTCAAAGCCTTTATTTCTATCACTGAACTGCTATCACTGAGCTAGTAAGTTCCTATAACTATCATCTTTTAGTTCCTTTGGTCATTTTTAACCCTTAGGAGTTTGGGGAGTTGGAGAGAGAAGGAGAGAAAAAGCCATTCTAGAATTTGTTGAAAGGTGTTTCCAATTATGTAACTATGTGTTTTTACTAGAATCACCATCAGGGAACAATAATACTACAATGTACAAATAAGCTTCACAGGGACAAATTCAAAGCTCTTTGCAAATTACTGAATGCTATTTTTGTTTTTGTTTTTTTAAGGCATGTGGTAAGCAACAAGAGAGAAAACAAGTGGGTATGACACTTCTTCCAAGAGACTATGGCACATACAGTGTGCCTCCTGAACAGACTTGAAAAACAGTTGCTATCAGGCAAGATAGTTACCTTGATAACACAGTAATAAAGAGTAGAAATATGGTAAGAAACCAATTTAGTCTTTGACCATGCAAAAATATATTCTGTGTTTATTAGCTTCTAGTCTAATCAGTCAATGTCAAAAGCTAAAACCTCTTACACTTCCATAACGTGACACATAACTCAGCTTCTGAACACACAACTAAAAAGCATCAACACGGGCGCCTTGGTGGCTCAGTCGGTTGAGCGACTGCCTTCGGCTCAGGTCATGATCCCAGGGTCCTGGGATCGAGCCCCGCATCGGGCTCCCTGCTCAGCGGAGAGCCTGCTTCTCCCTCTCCCTCTCCCCCTGCTTGTGTTCCCTCTCTCGCTGTGTCTCTCTCTGTCAGGTAAATAAATAAAATCTTAAAAAAAAAAAAAAAGCATCAACACAGTATTATTTTACGCAGACTCATTATCTCCTGCAGAGAATAAGTATCTTATGATAAAAGTATGCTAAAATTATGTAAAGAATGATCATTTTCATTTTTATACATTATTTCTTCTTTTTCCTCTGATGGGGCCTCAATGAATCACATTAATACAAGTTTGTGTTTAGTAAGTGATTTAAAAGGTTTTCATCCCTTGAGCGCCTGGGTAGCTTAGTCGGTTAAGCGTCCTACTCTTGATTTCAGCTCAGGTCATGATCTCAGGGATATGAGATCGAGCCCCACATCGGCTCTGTGCTGGGCATGGAGCCTGCTTAGGATTCTCTCTCTCCCTCTCTCTCTCTCTCCCCACCCCCCCCAAAAAGAGTTTTCATCCCTGAGAATAACTTGCTATCTCCTACATGGGCAGTGCTGTGTACCGGGGAGGGAGAATATGTGAACGTATTCCTAGCAAGTCATTTCTACCATCAATCTACATTTGGAATGACTTTTAACAAAACAGAGTATAAAGATATGTGTCTAGAAGACTTTCAGAAAAATTAAAAGGAGAAATAATCTAAAGAAAAGATTACTACTAATTAAGTATTTCTACCCAAGGGGAGAAAAATTTCACTTTGACTCACTTTGCCCTTTATCCTAAGTTTTACAAAGACTAACGAGGAATTTGGAATGGAGGCAGAATTGAACTTTTCCAAAATGACTCAGAATATTTCTATTGCAAAATAACCTTTTGTTGGCAGAAAAATAAAACACTGAAAAATGATACATATGTGGAAGGAACAAAAGATAAAAGTACTAGCCTTGTAAATCATGTTCACTTCTATACCGGTGACCCAATCATTTTAGGAAAGCATTCCAAAACTACCTTTTTTTTTTCTTTCTTCCTCTCAATATCTCCCTTTATCCTCCAAAAGGGGCTTAATAAATCCCATTACAAAACATTTGCAAGTTTAAAAAAGAATACCTCTGGGTGTTTGGAGGCCTTCCCGCATTTATTAATTTATTAAATAGTCTGATGTAAAAAATAAAATTTCAATGTATATGGAGCCCAGGAATTCAATTGTGTTGATCATGGTTTTCAAGAAGAACAAAACAAACTGATGGAGCTGATGGACTCCTTTCTACTGGGAACTTCTGCTTCTTACCCCCCTGAGCCCATCATAAATAGCCTCATGTTCAAAAAGGAAAAGTAAAATTTGGCTTAACTTATGAGCAGTGTGTAAAAGAAAAATGGAATGAATTCAACTTTCACCCTATCGGGCAAAATAATAATCATAAAATATCATATTCACTAAACTTGATACAAGAGAACTACATAATAAAAAGTAAAACAAACATACAAAGAAACAAACAAACAAATAAAAACAAAACAGGGGCGCCTGGGTGGCTCAGATGGTTAAGCGTCTGCCTTCGGCTCTGGTAGTGCATGATCCCAGGATGATCCCAGGGTCCTGGGATCAAGCCCCACACCCGGCTCCTGGCTCAGCGGGGAGCCTGCTTCTCCGTCTCCCTCTGCCTCTCCCCCTCCCCCTGCTCGTGCCCTCTCTCTCTCTCTGTATCTCTGTGTCTCAAATGAATAAATAAAATCTTTAAAAAAAAAAATAAGGTACTAAATTAAAACTCAGGAGTTTCACTCTTTTTCACTCCTTTTGGGAGACTTAATCATCTAACTATAGCATGAGAATCATTTTCACTGCCATCAGAAGTTCTGGGGACGTTAACATTATGTCTTTCAAAATACTTACAAAGACTATTGAAGTTAACCATTGGCTTTTACTGTATTATGTAATCCAGTCAGATTAACATATTGAATTTCTCTTGCCTTTTTTTCTCTCCACCCTACTGCAAAGAGAAAAAAAGCAAAACTCTAATAATATCTGCTTTAAAATTACAGAAAAATTATGCCCATCTGGGTAAATCTACTATGTCCCACAGAACAGGACGTGAGTGGGGTATCTGTGCAAGGCATGAAAAGCAGCAATGAGGTCCATTGCCTTGTTTAGAAGGACACAAGCATGGAAAGAGCTAAACTGAGATAGAAGCAGCGTTTCTTTCGTTTTCCACTTTAAATGTTAGACACCATATTGCTGTAAGAATTACAAGTGGTGTAATATCTTTGTGTATAAGAAAAAAAATCTTTTCTTGATATTCCTCACTGTGATTGAGCTTTTAAAAGGAATTTAGAAGTTTTCTCTCACTCTCAACTTTATTTTTCTAAGAGAAGACCTAAGAGGGAAACTGAAAGTATTTTATTTTAAATAAAGATATTAATAATATACCTAAAATTATTCTATCACAAATTATTCTTAAAGACCTAACAGATTTATATAAACTTTACAAATAAGAAGATTCTCCTCTTTATATAAATCTTTTCTTTCAAAAATGAATTTATAATATTTTAAATATTCTCAAAAGAACAAGATTAGTTTAAATGAACTATTTACATATAAACTGAATGGTCTCAGCACTAATTAAAACTGTAATGATAACTTGAAATGTAAGTTTTAATTCTTATTTAAGATTAACCTTATGTAATACAAACACAGGTTATAAGCATGGGATATATTCAAATGGGCTACTTTTGTCTACACTATTATGTATATATTTTTTCTTTTGATAAGCAATTAAAAAATAACAGCAGTTTAAACATAATACTACATGTACATTGGGAGCTCAATAAATACTTATTACTTATTTGTAATATTGAAAGCAAAATCAATCTTAAAAAATTCACAATGGCTATTTCTCTTAAAATTTCTATATTAAAAAAGTATTATATGCGTGATTCTATTACAATATTTTAAACAGTCATTTAAACTCAAATATCCTGGAGGAGGCATAATCCCCGGAGTGTATAAAATGGCTACAATGTCGAAGACGGTCTGAATAACTTTCCAACAAGCTTATTTTGTTATCAAAAGGAAAGACATTATTTTAAACTGACTCACTGCAACTGCATGAATTTAAACAAACTAGTTTATCAAAGAATGAAGAATTAGTCGAAACTGTGATCTACCAAAAGCAAAATCTTAGCTAAAGGTTGTAACTTGAAAGTAATTAAAAAAAATTGTATGCAATGTCCATTACATTTGAAGAGGAACTATAAAAATGTCATATTCTTCCAAAATACAAATATAACCCTGCAAGTGGAAATACTATAAACATATTTATTTGGCATAATGTTTTATTTCGCAAGGGTAAATAAAAACATTCTCAGGTTGAATGCTAAATATCATGGAAAAACAGTAAAAACTGTTAAAACAAAGAAGCTCTTATAAACAAGCTAGGAGAAGTTGTCAAATTTATATTCATTTTGCTGCCCTAATTTGAGGTTTCATTAAGATCTTAATGGGAAAAACATGCACCACTAGTAAAGGCACGTATTTTAAAGGAGGATCTTTTAGGCTAGTGTAAGTGACTAAAAACGAGTTTCTTGTGAGCTAACGATGGCTTCAAACAGACCACAAAGCAGTCTTCTAAAAGACAGGCAATGATTTAAAAGTCTACTATATTTCATATATCCCTTTCTTTAATCTGGCTCTTTTAATCTTGTTTCAACCTCAAATCATTTCTGGTTGACAAGTGCTTTTGCTTAAATTTGAGGAGCACATAAGCTGTTGAAGGAATGGAGTTTTCTGATTTAACATACAACATTTGTTACTCCATCTTTACTTCTATGCTAAAACTTCAATCTCTATTAACATACTAAAACTCTTCCCTTTGTACTCAGAGAATGAGAAATTTATCCTAAGATGGAATATAATTCTAAGTTTAGTCTACAAAGAAATTTTGTCGGATGTTGAATCTGGCATTTAAAAACTGACTGCTCATCTAAGCCTCTAAGTAAGATCCACGTATCTTGTTTGTTTGGGGAAGAAACCTGGTTAACAAAAAGAATAAAGATTGACTTGCGTGGAACTTTTCCTCATTTATACCCTGAATTTCTTTAGAATAGTTTCACAATCTGTGTCCTAATTTTGAGGCTAGTTTCAAGGAGGAGGTTTTTATGATTGGTCGCCCTATTCTTATATGATAATGAAATTTTCAGATGTTCCTGTGGCAGATGACCACTGAAATTAGTTTGCATCAAATTATAGTGTACCTTCAAGAACTATTTCAGTTTCTTTTTGTCTAGGAGAAAAACGGTTGGAAGGTTTTTTTTTCTAGGATAATGGGACAGTATGAACAATTCCCAGTAGCACTTATGAGAACTACACACACACATGTGCAGAACTCTTTTAAGTATTCTGACTACATTTATAAAATTGATATACTTTACATTCCCCCAAATTTCCTTTTGGCTCACTTAACTCTTAAAAGTAAAAAAAAAAAAAAGAAAGAAAGAAAGAAAAGATCTAATTTAAAGAAGCTTCTTTTCAAAAATGGTATTTTTCCCTTAAAAGAGTAATAGCAGAAGCATCTAATATTTACTGAGCTCTTACTATGTGCCAGGCACTGTTCTAAGCACTATATTGTCAGTTCATTTCATCCTCACAATGAACCTACGCTGTAGGTGCTACTGGTAACTCCATCTAATAGATAAGGAAACCAAGAAACAGAAAGGGTTTAGAAAATTACACAAGATCATATAGGGAGGGAGTGTGTGAACTGGGGTTTAGGACCTTGATGGTCTGATTCTGGAGACCTGACTCTTAGCCATATGTTAAACATACCAGCTCCTAAATACATTCTACTTCACATCTTTACATAAAAGTATTAAATATGCTCTATTTCTTTTCCACGACCATCATGTCTAAGACTGACAAAATTGTATTTTATGCATTGTAATATAAGAATTTACTAAATAAATAAGTTATGGTGAACAGGTGCCAATAACTCAAAACAATAAATTATTCAGGAGTTCTTATGTGAAACACAAATTTCCTCATCATGTAGATCTTTAAATACCTAAACTCTTCAAAACAGAACTAACTCTATTCCTTTGGTACCAAATAAAATGCAATAAAAATTTATAGGGTGTTTTTAGTAGACCTTAAATATATTTATATTTCAAAATAAATCATATCTTTGAATGTTCAGCACAATGTGTAGGGAGCTTCTCTCACTATCATACTCAAAGCTTTAAATTTGGGTGTTAGCCTTGTCTTACACGCTAGCATTATGAGAGAATCCTTCTAACTTCTTGTTTTTAAATATTAATCTGTGATTTCTTTTTTACCTGACTCTTCAAGAAATGAAGTGAAACCAAAAAACCTGCTCTTTTAAAGCTTAAATATCAACATTCATGTCCCATTCTACAAATTATTCAGTAATCTGGTGCATCTATCTGTGATCAGGCCATGCAACTGAAAACAAAAGTACAAAACAGAGTTACTTTCTGAGAGTACAGCAAATGAATTAGGCATGCGGGACTGAACTGGGACTCACCATGGAGCTTTTATGGAAAAACACCCCGCTCCAAACAGATAAGGCCTTCATGGAAAAGGGGGGAAAATGCACAAAAAATTAGAGGAAAACTCATTTCACATTAACAAATACATGTATATCATACTGTTATAGAGTATGGATAAAATAACTGAAAAAATAAGTAATCACTTGCAATTCTACTGTAGATACTAACGAGTCTGATATAACCAATAAACAGAATGACGTGAAATAACAAGTCCCTTAATTTTCATAGGATTAGCAATTTCAAATGGTCTATTTCTCCCCCTTTTCTGGAGTCCCCCTGTAGGGTTTCTAAAGTAAAATAAAATAAACTTCACTTCAGAGGCCCTTAAAACAAAGTACAGGTTAAATGGAATAATCAAATGGAGAAAAGGGTGGGATCAGTAGCAACAGATGTGTGGTTGTAGGACACAAAATGTTTAAAATCAGCTAGAGAGAACACAATAAAAAGTTTGATAAGCATTATTCGCTCTTCATCGGTTGCAGCCTCAGAGCCACGGAGAGAAAGCAAGTCTTTTCCAAGCTACTTATGTAAAGTATGTTGAACTGTGTATTGCTGGCCAAAGGAATAAACACTAAATAAAAGTAGTATGATTTATTTCCATGTAGGGTTGCATTCCCAAAAGTCAGCATTTCTCTTAATAGTGATAGAGGTTGGCTTCTTCCACCTGGCCTGCTTTGGGCTAGGTTGGAATACCGGAAATGACAGCCACAATTGCTTATTTTAAATACAACTGGGGATGCAAAGTCAGACTTCATGGTACACATATTTCTTATTAATATTCTGTTCACAGCCATTTCAGACATGCTATGCATACTTGCACACAAAGAAGATGGGCTGATTTAATTGTATCCAAAACCAAATGTTGCTGTAGCATCTGACATGTGGAGGTGAGACACAGATTAAGAAGGAAAGCACACTGGCAAAACCTGGATATTTTCTTCTTTAACTTTGGGGCTAAAAACACCTTAAAAATAAAAATTCCTGCTAAGTGATTAGCATTCGTCTGCCAGTGGATTGAGTTTCACAAACGGAAACTTGGGTAAAAGGTTTTCACAACACTGAGCACAATTCTCAGGATTGATGCACAGAAGAAACAAAGCAGGGAACAGAGAGGGAAGAGATACTAATTAGAGAAGAGTCGGAAGAACTGAGACACTGAAGAAAAAAGAAAAGAAACTTCAGGAATGGTGTCAATGCAAAGCAAAGAAATCTCTCTTGTAGTTAATACGACCACAACCAAAGATAGGACATCATTATCCACATTGAAACAGTGGATGTTCAAACTTTTTTAATCACGACCCAGAGAAATACATTTTAAGGTGCAAGCTGGTGTATACATGAACATACATAAATTGAAACAATAATTCAATGAATGTGGCTTTTGTCTGTCATCAACTTTACTATTTTCTATTTCAATGTATTATAAACATTAATGCTGGGATTTTGTTACAATGAAGATCATGCATACTCTGGCGGGGTAGGTCTGAGCAGGGCCCGAGATTCTGTATTTCTAAGAAGCTCCTATCTCATGCTAAAGCTGCTTGTTTGCAGAACCAATAGCAAAACTGCATTTCATTTTATTCTATTTCATTAATGAAAAAAAAGGCACAACCCCCTTATCTGATTTCATGATCCACAAATCATACTGGAAACAAAGTGTTACTGCGAGCTCACGCTGCACTCTGACGAACACTGATTTAGATAACTGAGACCACTCAAAGACCCCAATCTCAGTAACACTGTAATGCCATGCAGAAAGGATCAGAAAATGGAAGCTTCTGTATGTTTTCATATGCCCACAAATGTTTCTGAAATGAAGAGGCTATTGTTGCCAGACAGTACCCAACTTCCTTTAAGTTTCTTCATTAGGCAGGGCCCACAAAATAGTCAAACAGTTCAAATGATTCTGACACAGGCGCTGACCATCTGGAACATCTAGACATGAGTGGCTCTTCAGTGTATATTATGTCAACACTGAACAGTCTCCCATCTCATTCCGAACATCAGACTACAGCTAATTTGTTGCAAAACATTTGGAAGTTTTATCTTCATCCTTTATGCCTTAAAAGGCTTCTCTACCGACCTCCCGAACCAACCAAACAAAAATGAAACAAAACCTTAAAGTTTCTACATTTCAAAAGACCAGCTGATGTTCCCTACCTACAGAGCCAGTAAATACCCTTTTCTAGGTTAAGGTTTCCTTATGTCTCAAAAGGAAACATGCATTTGCCAAACAAATTAAACACAAGCTTAAAAAAAATAATAATAAAATCTCCTAGATCTTCCTTTCTAGGCAATGGCAGTTCGTGTTATCAACGAAAGATTTAAACAGCCATTTCCTTCCCCACAATCCTAAAATGCACGGTTAACTCTCCAGACACTGTAGTAAACAGGCCTGCGCTAAGCAGCCTTGTCAGATTTAAAGACAATACAGTTCTCACTGTTCACAACCAAACCCAATGGTGTGAGTTAAAAGTAACCCTTCTTCAATCAAATAAGGATCAACTGGCTAACACAGCTCAAGGAGAAAATAGAGGGCTGGGAGAGACTGAATGAGGACCCGCTTTAGTATAGGCTTGGCATGTTCCCAATCTCCACTTACCCACTTCTTGGCCACCCCTACAAACTGGACCTCTGCCACATCCATGTAAAGGAAGAGCCACAAACTCCAAAGAAGTAGAGTGACTGACGTAATTACGGACTCTGTATGGGCAGTGTCAGCTGTTCTTTTGAAATGTGCCTGCTTCATCTTTCCTCAGTAGCAAAAGAATGAAAATATAAAGTCACAAAGGACAGGCTCATGATCCAGCTGTCTTCACCTATGACTTCCTTTCCCTCTTTAAAATCCCACAGTTGTAGTTTTATATGAGGGTAGTTAGAAGGAGGAAGACAGTATGTGAGTGGGGGTGTATGTTGAATTAAAACGGTCTGTATTAACATATGCAACTCCAATTAGATGTTTGGATATTAAGAATTTCTGTGTTTTCTAAGCACTATTAAGTTTCAGCAGGTTTAACAAGCCTGCCACACAAAACCTATTCACTCTGCCACAATTATATCCTTTTTGAGCTGAATTCTGATTGAAAAACATCAGGACTGGCCAAGAGATTAAAAATCCAGAAATATTTTTTATAGACTTATTTATAGCGCAACGTGAAACGACTTGACCATTAGTTCTCAACGGATTTCTTCTGGAGATTCTCAGAAGACAAGAAGGAATTGTGTTTTATATCATAACAGTAATGCCATGTAAGTTTTTAAATGCTGATTCATTTTGTTGAATACCACATAATACCACAAAAGCTTTGTTCTTGCTAGCTGAAAGGAAAGCAAACGTGAAGATTTTTTAAATGCAAGGGAAAAGTAAAACTTGATTTGATTTTGAACGCACTGAAGTCTTCTATAACCTGACCCTAGTGCTAAAAGGTATAAATGATTAGGTTCAATCATCTTTAGAGTTAAGGAATTAGTTGGAGTCTAAGAGAAAAATTCTATGAACATACTCTGAAAGTCCTATTTTTCAACTGATCATGTCTTATGAGAATTCAGGTATTATCACATAACAGACATCAGAATGAGCCCATATTTACTATGAACAACTATATACCAACAAACTGGACAATCTAGATGAAAAGGAAAAAATTCTTAGAAATACAACTTACCAAGACTGAATAACAAAGAAATAGAAAATCTAAATAGAACAATTATTAGTACGGATACTGAATCAGTAATCAAAAATCCCCCAATGAAGAAAAGCTAAGGACGAGATGGCTTCACTGGCTTCACTGGCAAATTTTACCAAACTTTTAAAGAATTAACACCAATCCTTAAACTCTTCCAAAGAATCAGAGGATGGAACACTCCCAAACTCATTTTGTGAGGCCAGTATTATCCTGATACCAAAACCAGAAAATGACACCACTAGAAAAGAAAACTACAGGCCAGTATCCCTAATGAATATAAGATGGAAAAATTCTCAAGAAAGCACTAGCAAACCAAATTCAGCAGCACATTAGAAAGGATCATTCACAATGCTCAAGTGAGATTCATCCTGGGGATCCAAGGATGGCTCAACATAATACAAATCAATCAGTATGATACATCACATTAGTAGAATGAAAAAAAAAATCATCTGATCATCTAACTGACACAGGAGAAGCATTTGACAAAATTCAACATCCATTCATGATTAAAAACTCGTAACAAATTAGGCACAATTAAGGAACATATCTCAACATACTAAAGGCAAGCATAGCTAACATCATACTCAATGGAGAAAGGTTGAAAGCTTTTCCTCTAAGATCAGGAACAAGACAATGGCACCCACTCTTACCACTCTTTTTCAATATAGTAATGGAAGTCCTAGCTAGAGCAATCAGGGAAGAAAAGAAAAGAAAATGTATCAGAGTTGGAAAGAAAAGAAGTAAAACTGTCTCTGTTTGCAGATGACATAACTTTATAGAAAATCCTAAAGACTCAACCAAAAAACTGTTAGATCTAATCCATGAATTCAGTAAGTTACAGGATATAAAATTAACATACAAAAATCAGTAGTGTTTCTATACACTAACAACAAATTTTCTGAAAAAGAAACAAGGGAATCAATCCCATTTACAATAGCATCAAAAACAATAAAACACTTCGGAATAAATATAACTAACAAGATGAAAGATCTCTACTCTGAAAACTATAAGACACTGATGAATGAAATCAAAGAACAACACAAATAAATGGAAAGGGATCCTGTGGTCGTGGATTGTAAGAATTAATGTTAAAATGTCAATACTACCAAAAGCTATCTATAGATTTGATGCAATCCCTATCAAGATTCCCCAGGCATTTTTTACAGAAGTAGAAAAAAACTTCCCTAAAATTTATATGGAATCACAAAAGACCCCAAATAGCCAAAGAAATCCTAAAAAAGAACAAAAGCAAGAGGCATTGTATTTCCTGATTTCAAGTTAACTATAAAGCTATAGTCATCAAAACAGTATGGAGTTGGCATAAAAACAAATAGACC